TTATTCATCTGATCGTAGATACTTGGGTTGCCCAGCCCATGTCTTGGCTATGGTGAATAATGGTGCTATGACAATGAGTGTACAAATATCTCTTTGAGACCTTGATTTCAATTCTTTTGTGTATATGACCAGTAGTGGAATTGCTGGAGTAGTGGAATTTCTTATAAAGCATCTCACCCTGTGAATTAAATGGGATAATGTAGATAAAGTGTCACCACAGCACTTGCACATAGTAACAAAATGTGTGAGTAGTTAGGTGTAAATATATAATAAATACCTTTTGATGGTGTTGATGTTTTTAGTGAGTACGGACTGTGCACAGTGGAGCCCATTAGGGTTAAAAACATGTAGAATTTTCTCCCCCAACTTTACACCTGAACTGAGATAAGATTTTGGTGCAGACACAAGCACATCCTCTTTCAAGCCTTTAGCTTGAATATTTGTTATAACACTTGTTAAATTGGCACTTGATAGAAATGTCTGATGGCAGGTTGCTTGTGGGCATCATTAACACTGTGTTCCCACACTCAGTGCCCCAGGAAGTCTCTTTCCTGGAAAATTCTCTTTCAGGTCCTTTGAATTCCCTTGCAAGTACACTTGTCAGATGCTACAAAAGCAGGAAAGAAACGGGGACAGGGGAAATCAGATTCAGCATCAGCATTGGAAGTTAAAAGTCATATGTGTGTCTTGGGAAAATGTGTTTTCCAGGATAATGCTATTCACAGTGTGGTCTGCAGACTGGCCAGTCCGTCCAATCTTGACGCATAAAATGAGACATGGAGCACACACTGGAAGGTGGATTCAGGCAAATTGACCACGTCACCGCACTACACAGCGTTTAGGTCAGGTCAGCTGACTTTTTTTTCGGTAACAAGATTTTCAGAAGGAAGGAAACAGTGCATTGATTAGATTCTGGCACACGCTCCTTGAGAAGCACTGTCCCAGGTCATACTGGATTTGTCCAGACTTGGTAAAAATCTTCATGTCCTCCGTGAGGTCTTGTCTTGCCTTAGACTGAATGAGGGACAGTGTGCACATCTATCACAGCATTCATTGCACTGTATTGTAATGGTCTTTTTAAAATATCACAGAATATTTATTTAGTATCTATTTTGAAGTTATAAAAATAAGTAGCACATGCTAAAGCCAGGAAAAAGAATGTGTTATGATACATGGTGAAACATGAATGAGCCTTGAAGACCTTCTGCTCAGTGAAATAATCCAGTTACAAATAGACATGTGTGATCCGCTTACATGAGGTACTTGGAGGAGTCAGAGTCTGAGAGGCAGGAAGAGGGCCAGAGGTTACCAGGGGCCCTGGGGAGAGGAAGTGGGTGGTTGTGGCTAATAGTTAGGGAGCTTCTGTTTGGGATGACGAAGCCCACGTTGGAAAGAATGGTGATGGGTGTACAACATTGTGAATGTTCCTGATGCCACTGAACTGTACACTTTGAAAGAGTTAAGATGGTAAATGTTACTATATTTTATCACAATAAAAAAGTAGGAAAAAATTACATACTGGTTGCAAAAATTCAATTAGATACACATATATGGCAAAATGTGAGGGAGAGGCCTGAGCTAAGCAAGTCTTCCCCCAGTCTCCCAAACCGCACCATCCCAGGAGATCTGGTAACCACTCGAAAGGGACATGGAGGCTGGGGGAGAGTGGGCCAACCAGAGGGCCCTGTGATCTGGACTTGGAGGAGACAGAGGACGTTGGGGGACTGAGGAGGTTTCATGTGGTGACAGCCCGTATGGTGCCTGTCATCTAACACTGTATCCTTGGGTGGAATCCAGCAGGAAGGGGCTCACACCAAGGACCAGACACTTCTTCTCCATTTGGGGCACACTGAGGGTGCCCAGGGTGAGAAAGGGCAAGAGAGAATCCTCATTGTCTGCAGTGTCAAATGGAAGGGGTAGAATTCTCTTAAATCAAAATTAAGTTTTCTGCCATATTTGGAAATGGAATGATTAAGATGGACAACGAATCTGAAGTGAGTAACAAAACATTATAATAATATATGTTGTCAGAGTGTCTCAGGGCGTCCTCCATGGCATCTACCCTCCGCGCTCATCCCCTTCTCCTGCCTTGATGAGGAGGAAGTGTTGGGACAACAATTACCCTGAGATGCATCAGACCTGCTCACAGTGGAGAGGTGTGTCTGGGCCATCCAAACGTCAGCAGTGCAGGGCCTCTCTGTCCCCACACCACAAGCTCTGTGTCCAAAGTGTAACTGATTTGAAACTGTGATATTATCAGAAGGCTTTACTACAGTGCTTGCTGATGACAATGAAAAATGTGACTATCTTGACTTCATCACGAGTGGGAAGCCGGCTGTGGAGGCTGTGTGGGTGGTAAGGACCTGTGAAGAGAGACCCTCTTGGACGAGCTCAGATGAGTATTGCAGGAGTTCATGTGGAATGAGAGGGGGATGATCTCCTGGACATCTAAGACTGACCAGGAGACCTGAGAAGTCACCTTGGCTGAGACCAGCACTGCAGGTGCTTTGGAAAAAATGCGGCTTGGATACCAAAGCTTGGGAACCCTGCATCTTTCTCCAGGCATCACCATGAACTACCTGGCTCCTCTCTTTCCTCCTCTTGCCCTTCACCTGATAACAACTGCTAAATTCTTTCTCTCTGAACTGGACCTGTTTTCAAACCTCTTTTCTGTATTCTTCCAAGCTGAGCACGGGCCGTGGGAAGTTCTGTCTTAGTGAGCTCAGGCTGCTACAACAAGGATACCACAGACTGAGCAGTGTAAAAAGACCAGCATTTATTTCTGACAGTGCTGGAGGCTGGGAGTTCAACAGCGACTTGCTGGTAGATTCGGTGTCCGGTGAGAGGCAGCTGCCTTCATGCTGTGTCCTCATGTGGTGGCAAGTGGGCGAGTGAGCTCTCGGGTTGCTTCTCACAGAGGCTCTAATCCCACCCGTGTGGGCTCTGAGCTCGTGTCCTTGTCACCTCCCAAAGGCCCTACCTCCAAAGACCACCGTGTTGGAGTCCAGGTTTCAACATACAAATCTGGGGAGGAACACCCACAGTTAGTCCATAGCATCCCACCCACCATTCCCTAGTCAAGCCAGTTTGGCTCCAGAGGGTTCTGGGCTACTGATCCCAGTTTGCTGTGAGGCAGTGAGTGTCATGGGGCCATTTTAGGCTAACACACAGAGGTTATTTCTGGCCCATTTGTATAACACTGACCTTAGGCACATTACTTAGCCTCCACGAACTTCATTTTCTTCATTTGTTAAATGGGGATAACACTGGGATCTACTGGGCGGGTTGTGACACACGTGTGAGTTACTGTGCATGAAGTGCCAAGAGGAGAATCAGGCACCATACTGCAAGCACGTGGTAAGTGTCAGCTCTTAACGTTCCCCTCCCCACATTCCATTTAGGGCAAAGAGAACAATTTATCGTCGTCTAGCACTTACTTATTTCTTGGCATCAGCAGGCTCCCCGCATCCCCTGCTTCTGCCCTCCCTCCAAAGTGCAGGCTTTGCCCATTTTCTCTTCTGCCTGGAAGATTCCTCCTCTCCCTACTTAATCAGTCCCTCTCGTAATCCCAACCTCAGCTCAACCATTCCTTTCTCTGGGAAATCTCTGATCTCACCAGCTTGGCCAAATCTCACTCTCTTCTGCTCCGGGATAACTGAAATGTGACATTAATTGGCAAGACTTGATCGCCTGCTTCCCCTTTAGCCCACAGCTTCAGGAAGGCAGGTACTGTCTGCTCTGTTCACCTAAAGAAATTTCTGGCACCTAAAGAAATGCCTTTCACATTGATCCTCAAAAATATATGTAGAATGAATGATTGAATGAACAAATGAGGAAACAAATGATCACCCTACTTTTCGTCTCTGCCTTGAGCCGAGCAATGCAGAGAAGCCTTTTCCCTTTCCCATTGCAAGTTGCCAAATGTGACGAACAGGGACATTTCAGGAAATGTCACGAATGTACAAGCACATATAAATACATAGTATTTTCCACTCATTTTACTCAAATGGTAGCATATCATACGTAATTCTGTGCCTTGCTGCTATGGACTGGATGTTTGAGTCCACCCCAATTAATATGCCAAAGCCCCAATCTCCACAGTGAAGGTGGTAAAAAGCGGAGCCTCTGGGAGGTATTTAGGTCATGAGGGTGGAGCCCCCACGAGTTAGATGAGTGCCCCCGGAAGAAGAGACACGTGAGGGAGGATCCCTCTCTCTGTCACGTGACAACACAGTAAACGTGACGACACAGTAAGAAGGCTCCCATCTGCAAATCAGGAGGACGATCCTCACCAGTTACAAAATCAGCCTGCATCTTGATCTTGGACTCGCCAGCCTCCAGAACAGTAAGAGACAACGTCTTGTTATTCCAGCCACCTAGTGTACGGTATTTCTGTTACAGCAGCCTAACAAGACTTTTTTTTTAAAGGCTGACTTAAGTTACTTTATAATTAATTAATTAAATTGTCACTTTAATTTTTTTTGGTATCACTTTTCCTGGATCAAACTTTTGTTCTCTAATGTAAAACAGGATCACTTATTTGCTCTATATGTTGGCTCAGGCTTCATTAAAAAAATAAGTAAATAAAACCTCAGGGCATTGTTTCCCAAACATGCTATTTTAAAATGCAGACTATCAGACCTCTTTCCTGGAAAATTTCTTTCAGCAGATTTGAGTTGGTGTCTGGAAATCTGTTCTTTTAAAAAAAAAAGTTCTCCAGGTGATTCCTAGCCCCAGGCAATTTGAAGACACTTTGCTCTCAGAAAATCTACAAGGAGGAAGATTAAATGCCTTTCACCATTCCTGACAAGATCTTATGCACTAAAGTGTTTCCTCAAATCTTGGCAATTATTGTCTAAGAATATATTGATTGAGCACACAGTTTGAAAAAGTGCACGCATCCATGCACTACCAAACCCACAACACACCCTGATGCACATGCCTGTGATCTTTGCTCCTTTGCAAAGTCCTCGTAGAATCAGAGTTCACTTTGTTCCCTGCCTCTCCCGGCATTCCCCATTCCTGCCCCTGTTTGTTTAAATCCCGGCCTGGGAAGTATGGGCACCGTTCAGGGTCAGCCTCACCACCATGTTTCTTCTGACTCCAGTCCTGGTAGCACTTGTCTGCATTTTGATGGTGTGGATCTTTAAAAATGCTGATGGAGGCACAGAGCGAAGGAAGGGGGAGGCTAGAGCCCAGGCCGAGGCTCGTCCCTGGGTGGATGAAGACTTGAAAGACTGCACAGACGTCCACCAAGTGGAGGAAGGTAAGGACACTGGCTGTACCGCTCAGCTGCCACCTTCTGCATTGTTATGATGAGGGCAAGTCGATGGCAGGGCTTGTGGAGAGGAAGAAACATAGGCAGGTCATTGTCAACCTCTCTTGTGCAAACAGATTAGTGTGTGACGGAGACTGGTCATTTCTCTCGAGTGGTCAGCTTGTCACCTGCTGGCACCAACCCCCTTTTATTCCTGGATTCTCAGTAAAAAGCTATAGGGGGGCTGACATTTTCCCTGGCTCCAGTCCTGTTCTGGATGCTAAAATCTTTCTGAAGGGGCCTGTCACAGGCTGGGGTGGCCGTGGGTTTAGTGGTCAGGTTTAGACCAAGAACTTTGAAGTCAAAAGGAACACTGGCCTACGGGCTCGCTACCTCTCTGTGGGTTAGAGGCTGCTGTCCTCAAAGCTGAGCATCCAATTCAGTAGACAAGGCAATAAACAGGCAACTGATAAGAGTAAAACAGAGATGAACAGGGTGGAACTGATGATAAGGTGTTTCGAGAAGGCTAGGGGGAGTGTGGTGGAACAGTTAGAGAAAGAATGAACCGGGACTGGTAGATGAATGAGATGAATAGCAAAGGGTAGGAGGCAGCTCAGGCGACAGGCACAAAAAGAGCCTGAGTCCAGGGACTGGTACTGGCAAGGATGCTGATAGGATGGGAGGACTGTACTGACAGGGAAGGGGCGAAAATGAAATGGGGTATTGAGGACAGGCTGGGGATGCGTGACCTGAGAAAGAAGAGATGATGAAGGAGGCAGGAAGGAAGGGAGAAGTTCTTAAAGAGCCTTGAGTAATCCGTGTGTGGTCTGTCTGAGGTGGGTTTATAGGATGGATTTGCTTTGGAAGAGGCTCAGTGACTCTCAGCCAGACTAGTAATGCCTCCACCCTTCCTCCGACAGAGGCCACCTGAAGGTGTGTGTGTGTGTGCACATGTGTGTGTGTGTGCACGTGTGTGTGTGTGGAGAAGAGAAGGGATTCTGCTACTGAAGGAACATGTGGTGGATTTGGTAACAGTAAATAAATACCAGACTCAAACCAATTGGAAAATTAACAATGAGACAAAACAGTAAAATAAGCATGGTAGG